TTTTTTCTTCCAGCTCTTTTTGTCCATCTAAAAAAATGTTTTGATGAAAAAATCTTGTCACCATACCTGTACAAAAAGCAATCGAAGTTTCAACTTTGACCTCGATTTTCTCAAAAACGGTGCATCTGAAAAATTTTTTAATAGCATTATTGGACTCAGTTTTCATGCCTCTACAAATCATCCAAGTCCCTACTCTTAACTCAAAAATTCAAAGTTTTTGCAGTATGTCCTTTTAACCTAAAATCAAACAGATAGATTCTAAATGTCACTGAACTAAAAAACGACGTAATACTAAATTGGCTTAGCACTTTGTCTTATTTTTTTCAATGATTCGAAGTAATTAATGATCAAATTGCTATAATTTTTGTTAATTTCATTGAATCTGATCAACACTGAATTTTAATTATAATTCGGCCAAATTTTGTAAAATTTTGCAAGAAACAACGTAATTTAATTAGTAACCTAGACGACGTCTCATTTTGAGAATATTGACTGTAATCAAGCTGAGGTGCCTGGAGATCCTTGCAATGGAAAAGCTGGTGTACTTGAGGTTTCTTTCGTTTCTGGAGTCGTGAACTCACCTGTTCCTCCTTGTGGAACTTGAGATGGCGCGATTGGTGGGCTCGAAACTCCTTGTGTTACTAAATCTCTATGCACACTTGTCTCTCCTGGTGTTGTTTGAGATAGCATGGTTGGTGCGTTCGTAACTCCTTCTGTTACTTGGGCCCTTGCTTCAACTACTGTTGCTGATTCTAATTGAGGTGGTGTAATTGGCGGAATCGGGAATTCTTGTATGGCATAACTGGCTGGAGTAGTTGCTGCTTGTTCCACTTGAGGTTGCATATTTTGTACGATGTCAACTCCTGGTGTTTGTGGAACCCTGAACTCAACTATCGATCCTGGTGTTACTTGAGTGGGAATAGATGGTGGCACATTTTTGACACCTTGTACTTCTGCAGTCCTCGGCTCGATAGTTGGTCCTGGTGTTACTTGAGGTGTCATAACTGGTGTTACATTTGTCACTCCTTGTACTTCGGGAGTCCTTGACTCAATTGATGGTCCTGATGTTACTTGAGTGGAAATAGATTGTGGTAAATTTGTTACGCTTTGTCCTTCTGGAGCTCTCGGCTCGACTGACACTACTGATGCTGCTTGCGTGGGCATCGGTGGTGGTACATTTGTTACGACTTGTACTTCTGAAGCCGTCGGCTCGATCTTTGGTCCTGGTACTACATTCGTCACTACTTGTACTTCTGGAGCTCTCGGCTCAATTGATGGTCCTGGTGTTACTTGAGTGGGCATAAATGGCGGTACACTTGTTACGTCTTGTACTTCTGAAGCTTTCGGCGCGATTGTTGGTCCTGGTGTTACTTGAGTGGGCATGGATGGTGTTGCATTTTTCCCACCTTGTACTTCTGGAGCCCTCGACTC